AGTTATTTTATCCCCCTTTCCCCACTTCTGCCCCTCTCATAGGCAACTCTTCTAATGTGTTTGTGTGCTTTGCTCTCATGTCTTAAGATGGCTAATGTTTGGTGTGCATGTATTTTAACTCTGCAAATAGTATTGTTGTATACCTCATTTATTTCTTACCTACTTCTCTCAGCCCTGTGATTCCAAAATCCACCCATGCTGCTCTGTGTGGCTTTAGACTGTTGCTTCCAACTGCTGACATGGTGTGGACCATCCACATTTTACCCATCCAGTCACTCAGCAGTGGACACCCAGGTTACCTCCAACCCCCTGGTGCCACAAACAGTGTTATAAAGAAAATCCTTGGACACCTTATCTTAACTACTGGTGTGGGAATTTCTTCAGGATGTATACAGCAGTGGCAAGAACCACATAAGCATCGTCAGTACATTAAAATGGCTATTAACAGCTCACGGGCACATGAATACACAAGTTTAAATATGGGAGACAGACATTTACATGCTTAGAAACTCCTGCCAACCGATGACAAATCAGAAATGAAGACACGACATCTCTGAAATGAAAACCTAAGTCAGTGGAAAGCATGGTTGTGCAATCACAGAACCCCATTCTCCATGTGGTTTCATGGGAGCACATCTGTTCTGAAAAGCGAGGTACACCAGTCTCACCCACCCCTCTCCCCATCCTCCGACCCCCAGGCTTCTTTCTCATGTGAGCCACAGCCACAGAGTCACCTGCTGTTCACTCGGTGGCCCTTTTATGATGGGGACTGTATTTTTACTCTCCTCACAGCTGCCTTTCCTGCTCTGTGGCATCAACATAAACTCTGCAAAATTTCATCTTGCACCAGGGCTGCTCTGCAGTCACTGGGGACTGCCAGAGCGTGATCTACAGCCCCTCTCACTTCCGTGAGACCTTTGCTCCTCATGCCTCATCCTTACATCAATCAAGCCCTCAGGCAACGTCCCCAACCTGAGCCAAACTGCTCTCCTGGGAACCACACTATGCTCTCGTTTGGAGGAAGAGGATGCCTGCCTCGGGGCTCCAGCTTCTGAGCTCTGTTTGCATGAATAAATAGCTCTGAAGGGTTTGGCTGAAGCTTTTATGTAAACACTCGCCAAAATATGTTCTGCACTGCATTATCCCCAGCAATAAAGATTCTGGAATCAGAATTTGGCTGTCAGTTTTATTGATGTTGCATGGGGTACAGTAGAATACAGCTTTCTCTTCTGGAAATTTATTGGCTTGGCAGTGCAGAGAGCAATAAAACCGTGTTTTTAATCAGTAAGCCAAGTGGACATGATTCCAGAAGAAATATAGGAAGCAAATATGTCATCACAAGAAGATTTCTCCCCCCATTGTCCCTGCTCTTCTCAGGTCCCCTGGTAAATAAGTTTGGATGTTGAACCATGTGCTTGGTGGGCCTGTTTTTAGGACTAGAATCAAAGAACCAGCGTTGGATTACTTACTCTAGGTTGTATCATCTCTAAGAGACTGTTGAGCAAAAGCATTTTTTCTGAAATGAAGTTTCTAAAAATTTCTCTGCATTAGCTCTTAGGGAGGAGCCATTGGTAAACTGCTTGGTGGAGGGAACAGAGAGAGTGCAAGATTACCATGTCTGACCCTCCACCCACTCACCAAGACAGAGCAGGTCAGGAGTCACATGCTTCAGCCCAGCAGAACACACTGGGAAGAGCAACTGGAGTCAGTCTCCCAGTTCTGTTACCTCCTTCAGGTTACTTTTGCCATAAAAGGGAAAGACCCACCTATCTTAGCCAGGGTTCACAAGAGAAACAGAACCAATATATTTTTTTTCTTTTTTTCACTGCCGTCAAGTCGATTCCAACTCATAGCAACCCTGTAGGACAGAGTAGAACTGCCCTATAGAGTTTCCAAAGCTGTAAATCTCTATACAAGCAGACCGCCACATCTTTCTCCCATGGAGCTGCCAGTGGTTTTGAACCACCGACCCTTTGGTTAGCAGTTGATCACTTTAACCACTGCGCCACCTGGGCTTCTCATATATATATGTAATATATATACATATTTTTTAAAAAACCCATTGCCGCGAGTCGATTATGACTCATAGCCACCCCATGTGACAGAGCAGAACTGCCTCATAGGGTTTTCCTGGCTGTAATCTTCACAGAAGCAGATCACCAGGTCTTTCTCCTGCAGAGCTGCTGGGTAGGTTCAAACTACCAGCCTTTCAGTTAGCAGCCAAGCACTTAACCATTGTGCCATCAGGGCTCCTATATACATATATAGATATATACATATGTACCAAAAAAATAAAAAATAAACCGTTGCCATTGAGTCGATTCTGACTCATAGCGACCCTACAGGACAGAGTAGAACTGCCCCATAGGGTTTCCAAGGAGCAGTTGGTGGATTCGAACTGCCGACCTTTCAGTTAGCAGCCAAGTTCTTAACTACTGCACCACCAGGGCTCCACATACATACATACATATATATAGAGAGAGAGATTGATTTTGAGGACTTGGCTCATGCAATTGTAGGGGGCGGGCAAGTCCAAAATCTGTGGGCCAGGTGACAGGCTGGGAACTCCGGCAGTCTTGTGGCGCAAAGCTGTAGCCCAGGCTTCTCCAGTTGCTGTTGAATTGATTCCGACCAATGGCAACCCCACAGGAGCCAGGAAATGAGCCTGGAAATTGGAAATTCTGGCAGAATGTCTATTTACAGTCTTGAGGCAGAATCTTCCTCACTAAGGAAACCTCAGTTTTTGCTCTTAAGGCCTTCAAGTTATTGGATGAGTCCCACATCCATTAAAGAGGGTATTCTGCTTTACTTAAGATCAACTGTTGTAAATGTTAATCACATCTACAAAATACTTTCATAGCAACACCTGGACTAGTGTTTGGCCAGACAACATGGGCATCATAGCCTAGCCACACTGGCACATAAAATTAACCATCACCCCACCTCACACCATTGTTGAATGGATAAAATGAGGTTATAGGTGAGTGTGCCTAACTCATGGAGCCCTGGTGGGATGGCTCAATGTTTAAGAGCTATGGCTGCTAACCAAAAGGTCATCAGTTCGAATCCACTGCTTAGAAGCTATATGGGGAAGTTCTACCCTGTCTTATGGGTTGCTATGAGTCGGAATCAACTCATTGGCAACGGGCTTGGTTTTGGTTGTCTAACTCACACAGCACCTTACACCAGTAGCAAGTCCCTTCTGAGGCTGTAAGGCACCTGGTCAAATCTGCTCATCATGGAGGAGGTGTTCTTTCCTAGTTGGGAAGGCAATCCCTGAAGCATAAGCATGTGAAAAGCAAGACCGCATCTCCCACCCCTGTTCTCGTATTCCTAATGTTCACTCCCCTCCTTTGCCAGCCCTTGTGTCAAAAGCTGGGCCACTGCAGATGCTCAGTAAATGTTGACTGATTATATGAGATCAAGAGGGCAATATCTGCCCAAAAGCAAACAAGAGAAGGCAGGAAGGGGTAGAAAATCAGGACAAAAGAAAATGGGGAAACCAGGGTGGAAATGGGGAGAGTGCTGACACAATGTGGGGAATGAAACCAAGGTCATGAAACACTTTATGTACAAATATCGAGTGGGAAACTAACTTGCTCTGTAAACTTTCTCCTAAAGCACAATTAAAAAAAAAAAAAAATGTAGGTTGGCCATTCACCCCTGCCTTGCGGACACTTTCTCCTGAGTCATCTTAACCCCAGGTTCCTTTAGTGCTCACCCATATCATCCGCTACTGGTGTGACTGTTGCTGACTAGTTGCTCTTTTCTCAAGTTGTATGTACTGCATAGTTTTTAATCTCAATTTTAAGAATACCTAGATTGGTTCTCTAGATGTGAGTGAGTGCCTGAAGGAAAAGTTCCTACAGACACCCACTCCCCTGCCAAATGACATCAGATGACCATATAAGTTTACCATAGGAGCAGAGTGATCTGGTTGGGGTAATACTGAAACAGGCTGCTTGGGAAAGATGAGAAAGTTCAATGTAGGAGCATGTTTCTAGTGAGTCTTCCATTCTCTTGCCTGCCTGGCTTCCAATTGTGTTTTCACCCTTCACTTCTCCCCAACACAGCTTCTTTTCCATCCTCCCAACCAAGCCTATAGGACCACTCTAGAACTGTTTGTTAACTATTTACTTGGTGCCAAGAGCCATGCTTTACATGGGTTAGCTTGGTTAATCACCACAATAATCCTGTGAAATAGGAATTATTATTCCAATTTTATAGATGAAGAAATGGAAGTATTGTTGTTGTTAGTAGCTGTCAAGTTGGCTCTGATTTATGGCAACCTCACGTACAACAGAATGAAATAGGGCCTGGTTCTGTGCTGTTTTCACGATTGGTGGTATGCGTGAGTCCACTGCTTCCACCACTGTGTATTTTGAGTGCCTTCCAGTCTAGGGAGCTCATCTTTCAGCACTGTTTAATGACAATATTCTGTTGTGACCCATAGGGTTTTCACTGTATAGTTTTCAGAAGTAAATCACCAGGCCTTTCTTCCTAGTCTGTCTTAGTCTGGAAGCTCTGTTGAAACCTGTCCACCATGTGACCCTGCTGGTATTTGAAATACTGGTGGCATAGCTTCCAGCGTCATAGCAACATGCAAGCCATCACAGTATGACAAACTGTCAGACAGGTGATGGAAAACTGAAGCATAGAGGGCTTAACAGCATAATAACGTGCTTAATAACATGCTCAGGGTCTCCTAGCCAGGTTGTAGGAGGGCTGGAATTTGAACCCAGGTGTGTCTGATCTCAAAGCCAATACTCTTAACCATTAAATTACACATTCTTGATAAAGACCAAGAATGAGTCATGATACATGTCTTTACTGATATAACTTAGAATTCTGAACCTGAATCTAGTTGTTGGGAATTCAGGGGTCACACACACCTGCACACACTTGCACACAGATGCACACACACACACACACACACTTACTTTATTCATGAACTTAAAAGGCATTTCTTAAACTCTTGGCTTTCCTTTTTTCTTTTCTAGATCACTCACCTATCTCCCTATCAGAGTAATCCCATCTCAAGCTTTCAGAGGACTTAATGAGGTCGTAAAAATGTAAGTAAGATACTGCATATCCAAAGACATGCATAATGGGAATGATATTTTTTTTCTTTTTCTAAGAGAAAACATAGCTGAAAGGGGATAATTTTTCTTGGAGAAACATTGTCTTTTAGAAACCCTAGTATTTTTCTCTGTATCAAATACAAATAACATCCAGGAACCTTTGAAGAAAAGGTGTGATTTGCAAGAGTCATTAAAATCTGTAATTAACCTTGCTTCAGAGAACTGGATGCATTTTGATAAGGGATGATAAACAACTCAAGTGGAAGGGAAGATAGATTCCAACCATAAAAATTCTGCTTCTGCTAGAGCAGCTAGTCCCCCGTGTCACATGTTTAGATAACACCCACATAGAAGAAAATGTGTTGGAAGTTTATTGTGCATCAGAAGATAATCAATCTTGTATCTAAAATATATTAAGTGTATAACAAAAACACACTATTTAAACCTGCATTGATGAAAGGCACTTATCAAAAGTGATAATGGAGTGCGGTCTCATGTTTGTGCAGTTGTAACTTCAGTGCTTTATCCCTGGGTCGCACCTTCTAAGGTCCAAGACCCCATATTTAGAGAGAGAACTTTCTAAGGAGTCCCAATATTCCAGCATCCTCCTTAAAGTTAGCCTGAGCCAAAGGACCTCAAAGGCCATTTAGTTCCCAAAGGGCACCTCTGATCTTACCAATTCCCTAGGCTTCGGAAGCTGATTTGCATCTGATGCTACACAGTAAATCCTAGCTCCTTGGGGAACTTCTGATTGCTCTTTAAGGCACTGGCAAGCTATGAAGATAAGGAAAATAATTCCTGAGGAATTATTGCATATTAGGAAATTCATTGCAGGTTACAGGAAAGTCCATTTGCTTGAGCCTAACCCTTCCTCTTCTGCTCTCAAGTTTAAATGTTGAGTTTTGACAACTCTTAATGCATTAAGACCTCCTAGTGAGAAAAGTAGCCACAGTTAAATAAGCAAACCATCAGGTAGAAAGAAAAGGAATCAGCCTAGGAATAATCCATGACTCTGTTGTTCATAAAAGACACTAACTGCCTTAGGTTCTGCCCTTCTGTGGGCTAAAGCTCTCATCAGGTCAGAAGCCGTCACTGAACCTTGACCTTAGAAACGCGCCAACTGTACGGTTTGTGAATTTGAGATGATTTTCCTCAGCTGGCAGCAAATGGTAGCTTATGTTGGGATTTTATGACAACACTGATATTACATACATGCTTAGGGGGCAGTGTATGGCAAAGCTGGCTTCTTTATGATTATGTCTTTTTTAAAAATCCACGCATTAGCCCATTCGTTCATTCATTCATTCATTCTCAAACTACGTGCCAGGCCATATGAAGCCAGCAGTGATTCAGAAGTGAATGGGGCATACTCCTGTCCTCAATTTGCTCACAGAATGAGAAAATTACAACTCATGAAGGGGCCTCAGAACAGGATTTGGGGAAACCAAGGGTTAAGGTTTATGAACCAATAAATCTAACCCAAATTAAAACCTCACCACAGTGATGGAATTAGGATCCCAGAAATCCTGATCCTAGTCCTGAACCTCCAAACACACACTATTTGCCTCTCCTCCCAGGGCCTCAGTTTCCAAAACTGTAAAACAAGGGAATCTGACTAGATTTCCTCAAAGGGCCGATCCACTTCTAACAATCTGTGACTCTGTGAGTATAGATAAATAAGAAACAAATCTGTCACATAAACAGCGGTTAATGAAACTTGCATTTCAGCTGCACCTGGGTTATAGATGTCCCTCAGTGCCCCTAAAGGAGATGCCCCTTTATGATGTAAGGACGACTCCTGGCGTCCCTGTTCCTCTTCTGAGGGGTACCCTGGAGCCCCCGCTGTGGGTCACACACAGAGCTCATTACCATGCAGCCACCATCATGTCTTTCACATTTCTTTTTCTTTTCTCTCTCCCCTAGTGAAATCTCTCAGAGCGATTCCCTGGAAATGATAGAAGCGAATGCCTTTGACAACCTTCTCAATTTGTCTGAAATGTAAGCATCAGCTAAATGATGGTTTATTGCTGTACACTATTACCCTCACTGGCTGAAGCCCACTCGGTATTTGCATTCAAGCATCCATCGCTAGGAATCCAAGAGGAAAAGACAATGACAATTACTAGGTCTGGGCAGGCACTAATTTCTCTCACTGCAGTGGCCGGAAGGTTGCCATGGTGACAACTGCTTCTCCCTGGGAGCTGTATAAACTCCCAAACATCACGACATAAAGCTGGAAATTAAAATTGGCATTGTGGAGTGCTGCCAAATTGCTCTTACCTTACGGAAGGGAAGGCTTAGAGTACTTGGGGTAGTGAAAAAAAATTTGGAGAGGAGCATAGCCATCATGAATTGGTTCATTGGGAGTGGTTTTGGCATATTCACTCATTCAGTAAATGCTTCCTGAATACCTACCATGTAAGAGTCCTGTGTTGGGCATGTCAACATTGTGCTTATTGTTGTTTTGCTCTTGTGATGTTTTAGAAATACCTCTTTAAAATAATCCTTTCTAGTTCAATCAGATACAGGAGACCAAATGGGCGGCTCCTGTCCAGAGTCAGGATGAGAAGGCAGGAAGGGACAGGAACTGGTTGAATGGACACAAGACACCCGGGGTGGAAAGGGGGAGTGTGCTGTCACATTGTAGGGATTGCAACCAATGTCACATGACAATATGTGTATAAAGTTTTGTATGAGAAACTAACTTGAGCTGTAAACTTTCACCTAAAGCACAATAAAAAAAATAAGAATAATCCTTTCTGAATTATCATTTTCCCCCAGTTCACAAAAAGGATGGGAGAAGGCTGCATCAGTTCGGTTTTCAGATGATGAACCTGTGGCCCAAAGGTTAAGTGGCTTGCCCCATGTCACACAACACGTTCGTGCAGGGCTAGGACTAGAAATCGGGTCACATTATTCCTGAACCAGGGCTTCTAGATAAGCACTCAAGCTTGGCCTGCTTAAGGGTTTTGAAAGTTAAGAGAATGGTATTAGCAACACATATTCTTTGAGCACACGCACTTGGATGCTCCTCTAAGTGATGTCATTCAATTCTCAGAGCCACCCTGCACAGTGGGGCAGTTATCCCGTCTGTGCAGTAGAAGGAAAAGAGGCCCAGAGAGGTTCAGGACCCTGACCAAAGTGACACCTTTCACAATGGCAGGGCTGGGACTCAAACCCAGCCCGTCTTTCTTCAAAGCTTGAGCATTTTCCACTATCCCACACGGCTTTCCTATTAATGATCCAATTAGTGATTATATAAAAAGAATAAAAAATTGGTAAGTATGTGAGTGCCCAAGTGCCCAAACCTGAGCCAAGTGCTGCCGGAATACAGAGGAGGTAAAATCCAGTTTCCCTCGGGAGATGACGGTGTATCCCCGGAGGTGAGACTAACCCCCCAGGCAATTACAGAGCAATCCACAGCAATGGATAGTCAAGTGCAAATGGTGTAGTCTCGACTTAGCTGTGAAACAGAGTCACGTGTGGGGCTCATTACAATTATAGATGACCGTCCTACCCCAGACCTGGAAATCTGCAGTTTTAACAGACTCCTCAGGTGATACTGAAGCACATCTTCTATTGAGAATCACCAGGGCAGCTAAAGATAAATAGAGCTTCCCATGATGCAAAGAAACATTTATCAACAGAAATAAAAATTGAGTTAAGTGCTCTAAGGGAACGTTTATGGATTTTCCCAAGAACCATGAATAAGGAAGACTGAAGAAGAACTGATGCCTCTGAATTATGGTGTTGGTGAAGAATATTGAATATACCATGGACTGCCCGAAGAACGAACAAATCTGTCTTGGAAGAAATACAGTCAGAATGCTCCTTAGAAGCGAGGATGGCAAGACTTTGTCTCACAGACTTTGGACATGTTATCAGGAGGGACCAGTCTCTGGAGAAGGACATCATGCTTGGTAAAGTAGAGGATCAGCTAAAAAGAGGAAGACCCTGGACGAGATGGATTGACACAGTGGCTACAAAAATGGGCTCAAAAACAGCAAGGATTGTGAGGATGGGGTGGGACCAGGCAGTGTTTCATTCTGTTGTACACAGGGTCACTATGAGTCGGAACCAACTCGATGGCACCTAACAACAGCAACAACATAAGAGTAGGATGCTAGAAATCTGAGACTAGGATGCAGGCTCCATGCAAGCTCTCTCTGTTTTGTTCACAGCTGTATCCCAAGCACCTAGAACACAATACCAAAATCAAAAACCAAACACGTTGCCATCGAGTCCATTTTGACTCATAGCGACCTTATAGGACAGAGTAGAACTGCCCCATAGGATTTCCAAGGAGCGGCTGGGGGATTCGAACTGCCGACCTCTTGGTTAGCAGCCAAGTTCTAGGTGCTTGATAAATTTTGTTGAATAAATTAACGTATGAATGGGTGTTCTAAGGTCAGACCCCAAAGATCCTTAACAGATAAAGTTCCCTTCCATCCCACCTGCACAATGCCCTGTATGGTCCATGATTGCCTGACTCATTGTTGTAAAAATTATGACAACAAAATGTCACTCACATCTGAAGAATCAAAAGGACTTAAACAAAAGATGAATCAGGCACCCATAGTACCTGAAGTCAGAAAAACTGAGTTTATATCCACACTCCGCTACTTCTCAGCTGTGTTACTGGAGACAAATCATTCAACCTCCTGGCTTCATCAACTAGCAACTATCATACGATAGTTAACGTTGGTTGAGGCCTTAGTGTGAATCAGACACAACTCATTTCCTCCTCACAACTGAGGCACAGAGAGATTTAAGTCAAGTATCCAAGGTCATACAATTGGTCATTAGTAAAACCAAACTAACTCCAGAGTCCTGCTCCTAACCAATACACTGTTTTCTTTATAGAACAAGAGCAATTTTTTTATTTCCTCAATTGGATGGTGCGTGGGTTAAGAAAGCCAAAGTCATTACTAGCACTCAATGACATTTTATTGAACCCAAAGTAGACAAGACTCCAAAACTGTGGCTACTTCTCAAAGAGTCACATTCATAGGGGGAGGGTGTGTACAACAGCACCAGTCATGGTGTTACGGCTGCACGTTTATACTTTGCAAAGCCCCCTCTCGTGTGTTCTCTCTTTTAGGCATTCACTAACTACCAACCCGTAAGGAGGGAAGAGTATATATTATCATAACAATTCTATAGAAGGAAACCCTAGCTCAAGGACATTAGGTGGCTGTGCATCAACACACAACAAATTAGCTATAGAATGGGCACACCAGCAGCTGCCATTGAGTCAATTCCAACTCCTGGAGACCCCGTGCGTCTCAGAGTAGAACTGTGCTCCACAGGGTTTTCAATGGGTGCTTTTTCAGATGTAGATTGCCAGGCCGTTCTTCAGAGGTGCCTATGGGTAGACTCAAACCTACAACCTTTCAGTTAGCAGCCCAGTGCGTTTGCACAACCCAGGGACTCCACAGAATGGGCATAAAAATGTTAAAAATAATTAAAAACCACTAGCCCCTGGACTCTGCCCTGGGTTTTCTCACAGACTGGGTGCTCATCTAGACAACGGGGCCATGTGGCTGCCAGCCCACTACCAAGACAGCCAGTTTGCCTACGAGGGAGATTAGCTGATTTGCTCATCTCTCCTGGGAGCAGAATCTCCTATCACTCCCGGAGTGCAGGCTCCTCTGTGGGGCCTGACCTGCTTAGCTGGGAGCCCTGGGTGTCTTGGAGCACAGCTGGTGCTGTCTCCAGGTATGGTGCTCACGCCGCCTGGCAGGAGGCTGACAGCAAAGTTTCCTGGAACTAGCCTACTGGGTCTTGCCATCCGTTCCCAATCCCTAGGTCTCAAGAGCACCTCTCAAGCATGAAAATGGCTTGATTGTGGTGATGCCATTTTCAGCCAGCATCCTGTAGCGACATGGTCTTGTGCATCCCAAACAATATACACTATTAAACTGCTGCCTGTTTTTCCCTCTGTCTTTACAGACTGATCCAGAACACCAAAAACCTGGTGTTCATCGAGCCTGGAGCATTTACAGATCTCCCCCGGTTAAAATACCTGTGAGCAATTTTCCTTTTTAAGCAAC